AAATTGATTTTCGTAATCAAACAAACAATTTTTGAAAAAAAAACTGCATGCAAAAATTATTTTTTTGTGTGTATAACGTAGTCCTGGATATACTTAAATTGGATTTTTTTCCTTTTGTCTTCATAACTTTTTTCAAAAACGCTGATAACTCTTTTTTCTTTTGTATGACATGTTTTTGTATGCCTTGATCAATGTCTGGTAATTTCAAAAATTCAAGTTTTAGAAATAATCATCTTTGAAAATGTTTGCCAAAATTTAGAAGTTCGTTACTTTCGTTATACTATTTATTCGAGACAGAATTAAAACATTTCAGGCTGTTTCCAATGCATTTTCAATGCGAGATGGCCTAACTTTTGGTTACTACAATTGAGTAACCAAGGCTTATGACATTTGTGTTCGGTTACGAACACAACCAAAAAAATTTGAGAAATTAAAATCTAAAAAATCAATATTTTTGGTTTATGGAAAAATGCCAGTCATACATTTTCCATATGTGAAAAAATACTTATCATAGACCTTTTATACAACTTTCTGTACTTATGAAATTCCATGAAAAGTGTATGATTAGCATTTTTGGTCAACCCGGGCACTCAAACACACAAATATACCCACATCACACACTTTCACGCGCAATCAAACACATAATCATACTCATCCCACACACATATATATAAATACACACGCACGAAAACACACACACACATACGGATCGACTCAATTACACACACAGATACACACAAATACACACAAGAACACACGAAAACACACACACACACACGCAAAAACCCATATACAACTACAGAGAGTTAGTAGTTTTATCTATATAATTTTTATATCAGGTTAAGAATAGTTTTTCTATCCAATTATGTCTTTTTTTTAAGAGAGCTGATTGTTGACTTTCAATACCGGGTTGAACAATAATGCTAATCATGCAGCTTTCATATACTGAAAAATTCTAATCATACACCTAAACATAGCTGTCTGACACAAACAATATACTATAAGTAGCAAACCGAACACAAGGGGCAAAGACGCGGGTTGGATTCACGAAAGATTTAACAAAGCATTTTTGACAATTACTTCAAACACTTTTTGTGTCGCTAAAAAACAATGCTAGTCATATATTTCCAGTAATGGAAATTGTAAAATTGCCAAAAAATTATTCTACTTTATTAATGACAAGACACCAATTTTTTAGCTAAAACGAGAAAAAGTTTATTTTTATTTTCAATCCTATCATTTTAGCGAAAAACTTTGAAATTTGTATGACAAGCAATATTTCATAGACTAAGTTTCTGGAACTGTATGATTAACAATTTAAGTAAGCACTTTGTGGTTGAACTCGGCATCCAGTAGATTAACTCGGCAAGCAAGCAGCCCATGTTTGTTTCCGATCGATTGCCACAATTCTGGACTCGACATCAGTTGACCAATGGTTTCATGTCTGCAACGGTGATAACATCACCGACTGGTTGCATCAACAAAGTTTCTTTCTCAAAGATACCTGTTTGGCCTTTCAAGCCAATTAAAGAGTATAGAAGTCGACCGTGAGCCATTGGCTGCAAGAAGCCAGGTGAGAAATCCAACCGTATATTGTCATAATCATCTTCTATCGGATCGAACGGTTTAGTTACATCTACTGGCTGAATTATTTATCTCTCCGCAACCGCTTTCGAAACAATTCGTACGATATTTTTGGAGAGCCAACACCGAAAAATCCGATTGTGTCTCCGCTTTGTTATCATTATTAAGCACGATCAACAATGCGTAGGCTACATCCGTTCCGTCACTCATCGGCAATTCGTTGTACTACGTTTCACTAAGTACAATTGAAACGGAGTGTGCCTTATCTAAAAAGCAAAAAGTAAAACCGTTATGCAAGGTGGAGCATGGAAGTGATCAGTGTGCAATTTTAAGCTGGTTTTTAGTGAATATTAGGTTCAAAAAGGTTATTGACGAGGTTTTGAACACTAGCATGTGCTTAGTCGAAAGCTCGCTCAATGTCAGCACGCTCACTTTCGTTTCCGACGATCCCAGTAGTCTCGAGGTTGTTACACCGAATCAATTTCTACTGGGTCAGCACAGTTTGGTGTTTCCATCCCATCTTTAATGTCTATCGAAACTGTTCACCAATCAAAACGCTATGCGCGTGCGCAGTCTTAGGCAATTTTGCAGCAAGGGTTAAGTGAGAATGTCCTGACATTAAAAAAGACAGTTTCGTGGCATGCTCCTACAGAATATAATTTGATTACAGCGAAGACAAGGAGGCCCGTTCTGCAATCCTTAAAACAGTCTCCGGAAACTATACACGACCGATCGTAAAGGTCGTTCTATCTACCTTGCGTTCGGGGCGGACGATGTTAATGCTATTAAGAATTAAGCTGAAAGCGTTTTTACGCTAATTGAAAGCAAGTAAATATGCTATAAAGCATTAAGCTGAAAGTAATTTCACGCTAGTAGAAAGCAACTAAAACAGTGGTTAGCATAGGCGATTGCCAATACCTAGTTTGAGGGTTCGAGCCCATAGGTATTGAGGTTTGGCTCTTTTCCAGTTTCCCACCCCCTCGGAAAATTATAAAATTAAGCTGTTTAAAAATTGTTCACATGGCATTTGGCATGAAAAAATAGTTTTGTTCAATTTTTCACGCTGACACGATTGAATTCCTTTTTTATTCAGAAAATTCATTTTGAATTGATTTCCTGTTTTTGAGTTTCAGAAAAAACCAAAGTGGGATGGTAAAGGAGCGTACCGTTTGCCGAAAAATTATTCTATTTTATTAATGACAACACACCAACCTTTGAGCTAGAACAAGAAAAAGTTTCTTTTTATTTTCAAATCTACCATTTTAGCGAAAAGTTTTGAAATTTGTATGAAAAGCAATATTTCATAGACTAAGTTTATGAAACTGTATGATTAACCATTTGAACCCTTGGTCAACTGATGTCGAGTCCAGAATTTTGGCAACCCGAAGGGCAACAAACATGGGCTGCTTGCTTGCCGAGCTCAACCACTGATTGCTTGTCGAGTAAGCACTTAGTGGTTGAACTCGGCATTCAGTGGATGAACTCGGCATCAGTTGACCAATGGTTTTGTGTCTCCAATCGCGATAACCTCACTGACTGGTTGCATCAACAAAATTTCTTTCTCAAAGATAACTCTTTGGCCTTTCAAGCCAATTAAAGAGTATAGAAGTCGACTGTGAGCCATTGGCTGCAAGAAACCAAGTGAGAAGTCCAACCGTATATTGTCATAATCATCTTGTATCGGATCGAACGATTTAGTTACATTTACTGGCTGAATTCATCATCTCTCCGCAACCGCTTTCGAAACACGTCATACGATATTTTTGGATAGCCCTCACAGAAAAATCCGATTGTGGATCCGCTTTTTTATCATTAAGCACGATCAACAATTCGTAGGCTACATCCGTTCCGTCACTCATCGGTAACTCGTTGTACTACGTTTCACTCAGTACAATTGAAAAGAGTTGTGCATTCTCTAAAAAGCAAAAAGCAAAACCGTTATGCAAGGTGGAGCATGGAAGTGATTAGTTTGCAATTTTAAGCTGGTTTTTAATGGATCTTAGGTTCGAAAGGGTTATTGACGAAGTTTGAACACTAGCATGTGCTTAGTCGAAAGCTAGTTCAATACCAGCATGCTCACTGCCGTTTCCGACGATCCCAGTAGTCTCGAGGCTGTTACACCGAATCAATTTCTACTGGGACAGCACAGTTTGAGGTTTCCATCCCAGCTTTAATGTCTATCGAAACTGTTTACCAATCAAAACGCTATGCATGTGCGCAGTCTTAGGCAATTTTGCAGCAATGGTCAAGTGAGAATGTCCTGGCATTAAAAAAGACAGCTTAGTGGCCTGCTCCTACAGAATGTAATTTGATTACAGCGAAGACAAGGAGGCCCGTTCTGCAATCCTTAAAACAGTCTCCGGAAACTATACACGACCGATCGTAAAGGTCGTTCTAATTACCTTGCTTTCGGTGCGGACGATGTTAATGCCATTAAGCATTAAGCTGAAAGCATTTTTACGCTAATTGAAAGCAAGTATATATGCTATAAAGCATTAAGCTGAAAGTAATTTTACACTAGTTGGAAGCAACTAAAACAGTGGTTAGCATAGGCAATAGCCAATACCTAGTTTGAGGGTTCGAGCCCATAGGTATTGAGGTTTGGCTATTTTCCAGTTTCCCACCCCCTCGGAAAATTATAAAATTAAGCTGTTTAAAAATTGTTCACATGGCATTTTGCATGAAAAAATGGTTTTAAAAAATTGTTCAATTTTTCACGCTGACACGTTTTAATTAGTTTTTTTATTCAGAAAATTCATTTTAAATTGATTTCCTTTTTTTGAGTTTCAGAAAAAATCAAAGTGGGACTGTAAAGGTGCGTGCTTTTTGCCGAAAAATTATTCTATTTTATGAATGACAACACAACAACACACTTTGAGCTAAAACAAGAAAAAGTTTCCCTTTATTTTCAATTCTACCAGTTTAGCGAAAAGTTTTGAAATTTGTATGACAAACAATATTTCATAGACTAATTTTATGGAACTGTGTGATTAACAATTTAAACCACTGGTCAACTGATATCGAGTCCAGAAATTTGGCAACCCGAATGGCAACAAACATGGGCTGCTTGCTTGCCGAGCTCAATCACTGATTGCTTGTCGAGTAAGCACTTAGTGGTTGAACTCGGCATTCAGTGGAAGAACTCGGCATCAGTTGACCAATAATTTTGTGTCTCCAATCGCGATAACCTCACTGACTGGTTGCATCAACAAAATTTCTTTCTCAAAGATAACTGTTTGGCCTTTCAAGCCAATTAAAGAGTATAGAAGTCGACTGTGAGCCATTGGCTGCAAGAAACCAGGTGGAAAATCCAACCGTATATTGTCATAATCATCTTCTATCGGATCGAATGGTTTAGTTACATCTACTGGCTGATTTCATCATCTCTCCGCAACCGCTTTCGAAATACTTCATACGATATTTTTGGATAGCCGTCACCGAAAAATTTGATTGTGTCTCCGCTTTATTATCATTAAGCACGATCAACAATGCGTAGGCTACATCTTTTCCGTCACTCATCGGCATTTCGTTGTACTACGTTTCACTCTAGTAATGTTTATTCTCTAATAAGCAAAAAGCAAAACCGTTATGCAAGGTTGAGCATGGAAGTGATTAGTTTGCAACTTTAAGCTGGTTTTTACTGAATCTTAGGTTCAAAAAGGTTATTGACGAGGTTTTGAACACTAGCATGTGCTTAGTCGAAAACTCGCTCAATGCCAGCACGCTCACTGCCGTTTCCGACGATCACAGTAGTCTCGAGGCTGTTACACCGAATCACTTTCTACCGGGACAGCACAGTTTGAGGTTTCAATCCCATCTTTAATGTCTATCGAAACTGTTTACCAATCAAAGCGCTATGCGCGTGCGCAGTCTTAGTCAATTTTGCAGCAATGGTTAAGTGAAAATGTCCTGGCATTAAAAAAAACAGTTGAGTGGCATGCTCCTACAGAATGTAATTTGATTACAGCGAAGACAAGGAGGCCCGTTCTGCAATCCTTAAAACAGTCTCCGGAAACTATACACGACCGATCGTAATGGTCGTTCCATTTAACTTGCCTTCGGGGCGGAGGATGTTAATGCTATTAAGCATTAAGCTGAAAGCATTTTTACGCTAATTGAAAGCAAGTATATATGCTATAAAGCATTAAGCTGAAAATAACTTCACACTAGTTGGATGCAACTAAAACAGTGGTTAGCATAGGCAATTGCCAATACCTATTGTGAGGGTTCGAGCCCATAGGTTTTGAGGTTTGTCTCTTTTCCAGTTTCCCACCTCCTCGGAAAGTTATAAAGTTAAGCGGTTTAAAAATTGTTCACATGGCATTTTGCATGAAAAAATTTGATAATGCTACATAGCATTAAAGTTGAAAGTATTAAATTATAGTATCAAGCCGGTATAATTGCTTAGCAATACCAGCTATATAGCTCAGCGTATACATAGTGGGTTCTGGGGAGTTCGGCGTGGGTTCGATTCTCACCTAAGTCGTTTCATTTGAGAATCCTATTTGAGCCGAACCTGACAGCACATAAAATTCTAAAATTTTAATTGGTTTAAAAATGGTTTGCAATTGAGTTTCTGTTAATTAAACTGCGTGAACTAAGTATAAACTCATTGTGAAAAAACACATAAAAACACATAAATGAATGAGCCCACTTTTTAACTTGATACGTGTAATGTTGTTGCTAATTCCGTGCAATATAAATTACTAAAATTCGCCGTTTATTGATTCTCTGGAATTAAACCGATTCTGTTTCCTGTTTTTATTCGAGTTATAAAAAAGGCCAGAATATTTTGGTGCCGCGACTCGGGTAATGTTATCCGAAAGCAAAATATATCTGTACATTTTTGTGCGACCTCAAATTGAACGAAACCTATGCCAATGGTCAGATTACGCAAAAACTCAAATTGTGCAACCGACCAAAAAATCAAAAACAGATCGATTGGCCGAAAGTCAGAAACTCTGAAATACAACTCAGTTAGCGAAATCAAGAACGGTGTCGCTTGCCGAGTTTAGCCGAAACGATACGATCGACAATTTTTGCCACAACAGCAAACTACTTTTGTCGAAACAACCAGTTCCTGTAGCAGTATCATCCCAAAATCTGCCATAGTCAAAACAAAGCCGACAACCCAAAAGGCCGACATCACATAAGGCCGAAAGTGGTATTTTGTGGATTCTTTGTGGACTTTTGGTCTGGAGCTCGGTGAACTCCTGCAAAAAACTTGTAAGATCGAACCTGTGTTTTCAACTAATTTTTAGACTCTAATTTGTGCTAGTTTTTTAACCAAAAAAAGTTCTACTTTTTTGATTATCAGTGCTATAAAATCATATACGATGTAATTGATTGCAAACCGATAAAGACCCTCTTAGACACCCTAATACTCGTGCATACCCAGTACCCTAGTACTCCAGGAGAGTCTCGAACCCAAAAACTTCTGTGAAAATAAAAAATTCTACAAATTTTTGCAAAAAATTTTAACTTTTTGCAAAAAAATTTTTCAAAAAAAAAATTCTCGAAAAAAGGTTATACCAACTCTTTCCAAAATTTTTACTGACAAAAAAAATTTTTTTTTGTCCGAATTTAGAGCAAAATTGGAAAACACCGTTTTCGTGTCGCCCGTTCAACCGTTTAAACCGTCAATCGTGTCGAACAAGTTTTTTGAGTGAATCCCTACCTCGGTTTCCTCCAGTGGTTGGATAAACTTTAAAAATTTGCTCGGCTCGCCCCGTTTTCGGTCGCATACCGCCGCGACCGATACTACTACCGTTTCGCCGTAACGTCGTTGAGTTTAACCGATAAACCGTACGCGTTAACTTAAATAGTCCTGAATCGAAGCCTTAGTAGAACCTTACAAACCCTCAGCTAGGGGTTCTGAAAGTTATTATCGTCATAATTTTTTAAATTTATTTCTATGTGACGACTTTACAACAGCAGACTCCTTAAATTGATTGCGATTAAAACAACCGTATCGCTAATCACTCTCAATGGTGTTCATCATTGCTGCGAGTTCTCTCCATCACTCCGTAAATACATTACTATTAACTCTACAAAAACGCCTCGACGACACTTTTAAAGTAGTTCCAGGTTTAAGCTTTAATTTGAATGCAAATAACCGGCAAAAGACTGTTCAATATCTTTTAAGACATTCCCCAAAGTATATGATAGAGAAAAACTTTATCATTTAGCACGATGTTATAAATAATTCATTGAGTAAGCATAGATCAAACAACGACAACCCACTTACACCAGAAAGTCTGATTGAAATTTAAAAAGAATATAAAAACTAAATATCAGCCATTATTTACGTACACCGTCAAAATATCCCCAAAATTTATGGACATTTGGTTGAAACAGGAATATTAACCCTTATTGTGACCAAACATTTAATCTCAAAAAGAAAAGCTAGCAACAAAGATCTAATTCGTAAGCTTAAATTAATTCATCCTCCGGCGACTTTAGAAATAAGAAATTTGAGAACCATTCGACGTTATTTCCCCAATCTGTCCGAACTTATCAATGAAGTTAAAAGTCGTCGACCAAGTTCAAGGAAAAGAAAAGCAGATAAGAACAAGACTTCACAAATGACAACAGTCGTAGAATATTTAACACTTGTTAGGCATTATAAATCTTGATTTGTTTTTTTTTCGTTAAACAAATTCATCTTTATTTTCAATCTTGTAGTGTGTTTTCCTTCTGTTCCGTAGGCAACGAGAATCGTAGGCGTCTTGCAAGGATCCTCTCGTTCGGTATAGAACGCGGCTACTTGAATTGATTTTAGTTTGATTCCGTCAATCGACACTATTTACTTTTTTTGCTCTTATTTAAAAACAAAAAATAAAATTCAAAATGGAGCTTGATCTCGGCCCGAAGCTAAACAAAATTTATCTTGCCAGGAAAGAGTTGGAAACAAATCTTTTCGATTACCATGCCAAAATTACGGAATATATAAGTGCGAATGATAGACCAGCTAAAATTGAAACGTACATAGAAAAATCTAGCTTTTGCTTACAAAAAAATGTAGAGAAAAATGATGAGCTTAAATCTTTGTCTATGCACAGCAACATCGCTGCTGAAACAATAATCCAATGAGTTTTACCTAGGATCTATCACTGCAAAAAGTGACGATGTATTAGGTCTAGCTAAAAACTACTTTCAAATTAAACCTCAAGAGGACCAGGAAGCAACTGCACGAACCCCAACGCCAAGCGAATCCGTCCGTTCCAAGAAAGCCCTTTCACAGCGTTCTAAGATTGCATCAATGACTTCGAGTGAGCGTTGAAGAGAGGCAGCCCTTGCAAAAATTAGACGCGATGAAGTTGCACGCCAGGCAGAGGCTAAGCTTCGTTTGAAAAAGCAAGAGATCCAGATTCAGTCGATGAAGGGTCAACTTGAACTTGATGTGGTTGTAGAGGAAAGCCGTCAAAAGCTAGCCGAAGCAACTATCGAAGAGGCTGAATATCTGGAAGACGCCTCTGAAATCTGTGGACTTCGTCGTAGCAGATCGAAATTGGCAATGGCCGTTCTGGAGAACCAAACGGAGGAAGACAGGACAAGAAGTTGGGTGAACACTCAATTCCCAGCTCAGGAGATAGTTCAGCCGGTGGCGCCAGTCCAAAATGTCAATCTGGAACCAGCTTCCGAGTTCTTGTCATTTTCAAGTATTGAACCGCCTTTCAGTAGAAATCTGACGATGATTGATAACTCTCATCCAAATGCTAATTACTTCAAAACCACATGTATAAAATGACAGAGTGTTAACGTCCCTCATACATTAAGTACAAATGTCAGCTTGCCAAATCCAAATGTAAACAGTACGTATGAGCAACAGGAACAGCTACTTTTGACCAACCTATACAACTACAACCCTTTGATGCAGAGTGAATTTCATCATTCTAATATCCCCATTGCTCAACAAACCTTTTTCTAATTCTGCAAATTTTGTGTACCAACCGCTTTTACCAAATAACGTTGGTCCTCTCAATCCTCCAACAGTCACCTTCTTCCCTAACTCATATTATGTCACACAGCCATCGAATGTTCAGCCGTTCTCTAGCGAAGGAACAACTTTTTATGTCGGTGATCCTAACGCTGTAGACGCCGCTATCTATTCGAAACCGCTGATGGCGCCTTAAGCAAATGAGAACAAACAAAATGGCCCAATTGGGCAGTAAACCAATCACTAATCAAAATCTAGCTGAAATCTTGACACTGAGCCAGAAAGGCCTGAGTAGAAATTGTCCTCTTTCGTCGGAAATCCATTGCAGTGGCCTGAATGGTTTGGTCAGTTCAAAAGTGCAATCGATGCAAAATTTTCAGTGATGATGTCAAACTGACATATCTCAAAACTCTCGTTTCAGGTAAAGCTAAGAATGCAATTGCCAAATTTGCTTACAGTGGAGTATTCTACAAGGACGCTTTGAAAAGTCTAGAGAGGAAATTTGGACAACCACAGACGATTGTGGCGGCTCATCTTGAAAATTTTTCGAATTTTTCACCTCTCAAAATAGACAATCCAGAAAGCA